GAATGGATAATGAAATGGATATTCGATATTGAAAATTTAAAATTAAACAAAATGAATTGTTATTTGAAAATGAATTAAAACGAAATGAATTAATGAAATGAAAAATGGATATTGTGAATTGAATGATAGATAAAATGGATGACAAAAATATGAATGGAAAAATGGATAAAAATAATTTAAAGAAATGGGTAATGAATTGGATAAAATTGGTTTTTAAATGGATAAGAAACTGGTGTGAATGGAATTGGTTGTTTGAAATGGATTTTGAATATGGATAAATAACAAAGTGGGTGGTTACGAGAACGGATAATGTGTAGTGGTAATGCGCCTCCACACTTGAACGACACTTAAAACATCGACAGCGGCACTGACAAATCCTCAGACCAATGACGAAAACCTAAATCACACAATCAGGACTTGCATATAACTTGAGATGTACCAATTGTCTTGACTCTTAATGGTTCTGTAACTTGACTTCAACAGATGACTTGAACTGGCACAAACCCTGACTTGAGCCTTAACCACAACTCATTTGGATTACGCACACCTTGGCCTGGATCATGAAACAACTCTTGTTTGGCCAAGATTAGGTCTGATTTTCTTGAATTTCAAACCACATCACGCGCACACTTGACTTGAACCTCAACTCGTCCTTGTGGAACTGAATTTAGACAAAAAGGAAATGAAAGCCGAAACAATTTTTTTTTGGATTTCTGAATAATGGTAAGAAACACTAATAAGGGTATTTACAGGTAGGACAAATTTTGGGTATGACACTTAGAAAGTTGTCGATCTTCTTATTCCAAGCTCTTGGAGCTTGCTTAAGTCCATATAGGGCTTTATGCAACTTGTACACCTTTCTTTCTTCGCATTGTTTCACAAATCCAGCTGGTTATGTAACATAAACTACTTCGTCTAAAGGACCATTTAGGAATGCACATTTCATATCCATCTAACATGTGTGCCAATTTTTCATGTTTGCTAGACCAACAACCAACCTTATTATTTCGATCCTAGCAACAGGCGCAAAATCTTCGTCGAAGTCGATTCCTTCTTTCTTAAGAAATTCTTTCGCCACAAGTCCCGCCTTATGTCAAGTTACTTCTCCTTTATGATTCACCTTCACCTTGTAAACCCATTTCACATCAATTTCCTTATTTCCTTGAGGAAATTTGACAAGTGACCATGTGTTGTTGGCTTCGATGGACTCTAACTCTTCATTCATTGTTTTCACCCATTTCGAATCTTCCAATGCCTCAGCTACATTGACTGGTTCAACATCTGTGTAGAAAGCATAATGTATCAGCTCACCTTTTTCATCGACCACATCATGTGATGTAATCACACATTCTTGCAACCTTGTAGATATGTGCCTTGTTTGTTTAGGTCTGCTTGGGCCTGCTTCCCCTCTGACTTCTTCTTGTCGAACTTCTCTTTCTACTTCACTCGCTGGTTCTTCACATAAGATTCTCACTGAATCCTTTTTGAGATTCTCATTCCATTCCCATTCCTTAAGCTCATGTATGACCATGTCCCTGCTGATCAAAGTTTGCCTGTTCACTGGGTCAAACAACTTGTATCCTCTAGTCGAATGATATTCTATTAGGATTATTTGACTCGACTTGTCATCAAGCTTTTTTCTCAACTGATCTGACACATGTCTATGTGTTATAGATCCAAACACCTTCAAATGATATAGGATGGGCTTGACACTAGACTAACATTCTTCTGGCATGATTCATTCTACCTTCTTCGTCGGACATCTATTTAAGATGTATGTTGTTGTCGACATAACTTTTCCCCATAATTCTTTGGCTATATGCTTTCCTTTAATCATACTTCTCACCATGTTCATGATGGTTCTATTCTTCCTTTCTTCAGTTCCATTTTATTGTGGATTGTAAGGTGGAACCACCTCATGTAGAATCCATTCTTTATCATATAATGTATCAAAATCTTTGGAAACATACTCTCCACCACCATTAGTCCTCAGAATCTTTAGGTTTCGACCACTATGTCTTTCAACCGTATATTTAAATTTGGAAAATACCTCGATCACTTCACTTTTCTTCTTGATAAGGTAAGTCCACAGTTTTCGATTCAAATCATCTATGAACGTGACAAAGTATCTATTAGCTCTGATCGAATCCACGTGGATATGACCACATACGTTAGAGTATATAACTTCAAGAATTGCCTTCAACTTGCTTCTTGCATCCTTGCTGAAGTTATTCTTGAGTTGTTTCGCTTGAACATATTCTTCACACACTTCATTTAGAATGTCGATTTCTGGTAATCCTGAAACCATATTTATTCTCTTCAAATCTCTGATGTCTTTGAAATTGAGATGACCAAGTTGATAATGTCATATCCATTCATCTCTGCTGGCTGAAGTTGCAAGGCACTTATGCTCGATCACATTAAGTTCAATCTTAAAGGTTCTATTCTAAGACATAGGAGCCTTCAAGATTAACCTACCACCTGAGTCGAGAACTGTCATCATCATGTCTTTAATTGACACCTTGTAGTTCTTTTGGACCAACTGTCCTATACTAAGCAAATTTCTCTTCATGCATGGTATGTACAATACATTAGAAATCACTGACCTCTTGTCATCTTTTCTCATAATCAGAACATCACCAATACATCAGCTGCTAGAGTATAGTTATTTGCAAATTTCACCACACTCTTCATTGAGGGCTTCATGTTGACAAACCATTCTTTCCTACCAGTCATGTGTGATAAGCATCCTGAGTCCAAGTACCACTAATCCTGGAATCTTTTTTCATCTATTGTTGTGACCATTAATAACATCTCTTTTTCTTCATGTTTTGTCATCTTTGCATCAGTTTTTTTATTCTTCTTCTTTCTCGACACTCACTAAAATATTGACCATACTTCTGATAATTGAAATACTGAATGTGACTTTTGTCAGGCGTTCAACCACCACCTCTTTTGGTTGCCTTGGTTCCAAGGTTTTCTGTGATTCGACCAATTTCCTTCCTGCTAATTTCGACTAGTCAAATTGTTGTAGCCTTCTCTACCTTTGTTGTCATTCCAGCTTCCTTTGCTTTTCTTTTCTTTTTCTGACTGCACCTGCAAAGCTATATCACTTTTCGATTTTTCTGCAACTCTTTCAGCTATCCTTTGTTCATGAGACTCAAGCATCCCTTGAAGCTCTTTCTTCATCAATATTGACAAGTCTTTCGATTCTTCTATGGCTACTGCAAGTGGTCAAACTTTGGAGCCAATGATCTCAAGATCTATAAAATAAGTCATCTTAATGTCAACACTTCTCCATATACCTTGATTTGATTCACCAGTTTAGTAACCCTAGTGAAAAAATCTATTATACTTGCATTTTCTTTCATCTGAAGCAATTAATAGGTTCTCTTGTGAGTTTGTAACCTCGCCTCTTTCACCTTCTCTGCTTCTCCAAACGGCTTCTCTAGAATTTCCCACGATTCCTTCGCTGATTCTACGTCACTAACCTTTTCAAAATTATTTGGATCAACACATTGATGGATTATAAATAGAGCTTTATAATCTTTCTTTTTTAATTCTTTCTGTGCAGCCTTTTCTTGATCCGTCACGTTTTTTACAAGTGGTGTTTACTCATTCCTTCACAAGATCCCAAACATCTTGATAACAGAAAACCACCTTTATCTGCTTGCACCAATTCTCATAATTATCTTTCTTGAGAATTGGAAGATTCTCCGGAAAATGGTTGTTTGGACAATTCATCGCCATCACGGTTTTGCTTTCTTGAATCGCAACCGGAGCTATAGATACCAGATGTTGAAATTCAACCACAACCTATGGAGAATTTCACTCAATCTTGATCTCAAGATTGTTATTAATCACTCAATGACAATGAAAAAGGCTGAGAAAGAAAGAAAATAACGTTGGAGAGGAAGATGAATATTTTCTGCAGAGTTTCTCTTTGCCCACAAATTGTTGAAACTTGTTTATTCACTTGCAACTGCAAATTCTGTGAATACAATGTTATGAGTTGTTTACAAAATAAGGGTTGCTCTCTATTTATAGATTTAGGTTAACTTGCTCCCCAAGACAAAGCTCAAAACTATAAAAGTCCAAATAGTTAACATTACTAAAATAGGTCTAAGTCGAAATCCTGTGTGAAGCAATCTGCTTCGTCACTTCGACACACTAATACAACTCGACACATAGATATTTCGACACAAAAAATTACATTCTCAACAAAATATATTTAAAAACATGGATTCTAAAAGAATGACTTTTAAATCTATAGAACAAGCTAATTGAATCTAACAATGTAAATCTAACAAATTAAATCGAGTTATTCGTAAACTTAAAATAAATTAAATTTAAACTTAAATAAAAATTCATATCAAACTTGAATTGAATTTTGAGCTGAACTAATTTTTATCAAGTCGAACAGAATTGAGGCAAATTTGAAAATTCTCATTCATTTCATAAAATATATATATATATATATATATATATATATATATATATATATATATATATATATATATATATATATATATATATATATATATATATATATATATATATATATATATATATATATATATATATATATATATATATATATATATATATATATATATATATATATATATATATATATATATATATATATATATATATATATATACTCTAAGATCAATTATGACCCATATGAGTTGAATTCCAATATAAGAGAATTAAACACCAAAATCCAAAAATTTCACTATTTATGAATTGGATCCGCAAATTTGGCTAATCAAGTATCTCTTCAACATGTACCCCACATAAAATCCACGCTTCCCTTCACTTTTTCCTTTTCCTTCATTTTCATTACACACTTTTTCTTCTCCCTCTCTCATTTTTCCGACAAAGATCACTCTCCACTTCAAACCCTGCTAATTTCACTTCACTTGTTCATTTCCACACCTCCCTTTCTTCAACCTCACTCACCTCCCAAAGTTGACATCTTTTTGGGATTGGTCTGTATGACGTCAGGGACGAGGCTGCCGACATGGAAGGAGAGAGAAAACAACAAGAGGAGAGAGAGAAGAAGAAGAGCCATAGCTGCAAAGATCTTCTCTGGTTTGAGAATGTATGGTAACTTCAGATTACCGAAACATTGTGATAACAATGAAGTTCTTAAAGCTCTATGTAATCAAGCTGGTTGGACTGTTGAACCTGATGGAACCACTTATCGTAAGGTAACACTATCAACTTTTCTAAACAAATGCTACTCATGCATTTTTAGTATTATTCATGCTGAATTTGTTAAAATTATAAAATTTAAAGTCTAGTTTTTTTTATCATCAATTATCAAACTAGGAGGAAAAAAACTACCTTAGAAATTATAACTTTTTTAATTTTTATTTTCTGATTGTTAGATGACGAAAATGCCCCTGTTTGGCGTTTTTGTTTGTCTGTTAAAATCATATGAAACTGTTATTTGGAAAATGGAGAGGGTAGGTACATTTGTCAAGTGAGGTGTTCAATTTCATGGTTGATACATTTATTTGCATGAGCTTTTTGACATTTTCTGAGTTGGTGTTTACATAGGATTCCATTATGTATACCCTTTTGCCTCACTACTTCTCATGATTGATCCTTCTTTCCTGAAGGTGTTCAGTAAAGTTAATGTTAATTCATTTCATTCCAAATGAGTCAGACATGTTTGAATTCATGCTTATGATTAAAATATAGTAATGATATAAGTTTTTATATCTAGTTAACATACTACTCCATAGTTAAATAACTAATATTATTTAATTCATTTCCTTCTAAATGGTACTATTTTTAACAATTTTTTTTTAATTCATTAAATAACTATTAATATATCTTGTCAATGGATATTGTTCTATTACTTTAGTTATTCAATGACCTTTTGACAGTGATACTCCAGACATGATACAGATACTCTAACATTGATATATAAAAAATAGAACAGACATTGAGTATTTGAAGTTTATTTATCTATCTATTATAAAAGAGTTAAAGAAAATTAATGAACATCGATTTAGGTACGTGTTGTATGAATGTCATATAGGAGTCGAACATCGATTCAGAGTGTCAATGCAAAAAAAAAAACTATTTTTTTTAGGAACACCTGTCTGATTTTTTCGAAATTTATTTAACTTTTCCAACATTTGTCTTGCATATGTCAGATACCGACACGTGTAGGACACTTCGACACGTCTACCCCTAGAAGTGTTTGTGCTTTGTAGAATAGGACTAGCGGGAGAATGAGAGGAAAACTGGTTTTAACTTAAGACAGATAGATGAATGTATTATTGATATTGCAAATTTGAATAAAATTCAAGATGGAAAGAATTGTGTTTCATATTGAAGTAAATTGAATGTCCTGTAACATATTCTATTTATCATTGAGTTTTGTTTCCATTATATAGAATGGTTCTTGAAAGGGCTATCGTATGACTAGTTATGCTACTTAGATTACATTTGCCAGTATTAGTTTAGACCTGATAACATGCATATTTGATCAACTCGTGTTTACTTCTTCTTTAAGAACATGTAATCCTTGCATGCTCAGAGCCAAACTTCTGAACATGCCTTATGAAGGGTTCAACCTTGGTTGTTCCTCCATTTGAGCGGTGTAAAGCAGTTTAACTATGAATCGAAGGTCTCTCGCGTGTTTCTTTTTATAAATTGATGGAAATATTTTTGCATAAGCAGGGATGCAAACCTTTAGAGAATATGGATATAATTGGCGGATCATCGGCTGCAAGCCCTTGCTCATCTTACCATCCAAGCCCTGGCTCATCGTCCTTCCCAAGTCCATCTTCGTCTCCTTACACTGCAAATCGTAACACCGATGGTAATTCCCTCATTCCGTGGCTCAAAAACCTCTCCACAGCTTCGTCTTCAGCATCATCTCCGAAACTTCCGCACCCCTACCTTCATTGTGGCTCCATCAGTGCTCCTGTCACACCTCCTTTAAGCTCTCCGACTTCCAGAACACCGCAAATGAATACTGCTGACTGGGAAGATCGATCTGCACGGCAGGGATGGACTGGACAGCATTATTCTTTCCTGCCTTCTTCCGGTCCTCCAAGCCCTGGCCGTCAGATAGTCGATCCTGAATGGTTTGCAGGGATCAAACTTCCTCATGCTAGTCCAACTTCACCAACATTCAACCTCGTCTCTCGAAATCCATTTGCTTTCAAGGAAGATGGTTTTTCGGGGAATGGTTCGCGTATGTGGACCCCTGGACAGAGTGGAACGTGTTCTCCGGCTATTGCAGCAGGATCTGATTACACTGCTGACATTCCTATGTCAGAAGCTATCTCAGATGAATTTGCATTTGGAAGTAACACATTTGGGATTGTGAAGCCTTGGGAAGGAGAAAGGATCCATGAAGAATTTCTAACAGATGATCTCGAACTTACACTTGGTAACTCAAAGACCAGGTACCTAGCATTATTATACTTTATGATCAATTAAATGCCTATCGCACCGTCTCTTCTGATCGGAGACGTGTCTGGTATCCGACAGCGACACGATGCTTACATATCTGATTACATACAATTAATTCAACCTTTTCAAATTATTACTTATGTCTACGTGTCAGTGTCGGGTCAGCTGTTCTTGTATCTGTCAATGCTTCATATGCATGGTCATTTTGTTTTTGTTTAATATTCTTCTATTAATCATTTTTAACATGTTCTTCTGGCAGGTGAAGTCTTTATAAATAGGAAAGTCTGTGATTGAATGTAGTTACATGATCATTAACTTGTGTTGTAAACCACCCGGAGTCCAGCACAAGCGGTTGGCATGCAGCGTGTTGCAAACTCTGAGGTACCGAGTTGGAAAAGAAAAAAACGTAATTACTTGATCATTTAACCTGTGTTGGTTTTGTTAAGTAAGAAATGCTTGTAATGGAGGTGAGTGCAAGAAGCTTTTACATTTTTCTCTTTTTTTTTTCTCTGTAATTTTTCACTTGTACTCGAGTAATATACATGGTTAGTTAGGTGTGGAGTGAGTTTGCAACCCATTCATTTCATCGTTGTTGTAAGTTTTGTTATTGGACTCTTAATATACTTTATGGATTGGCTTGGTTTGCCGTGGAAAAAACCGAATGGCTTTGGAAAATATTGAAGTCTATTACCTAATTCAATCGTCAAAAGCTCTTGTAGAAATTTGATGAGATGATTTTTTTTCATGCAAGTTTCTCAATCCACCACTTTATGTATTCATATATACATACTATTGGAAAATACACTACCCGAAGAACACTTCAGAAAACCTCCTGCATGACAATGACATGGAGTTATGGTGAAGTTCTTATCATCCCTGTGTAGCATGGAGAGGTTGATTTGGAGTGCATTGCAGAGGTTTGGAATGAAGTGACTCATTTTGCAAACATGTGATAACGTTTCTAGATTGCAATTGAACGAGTTTACTTTTGAAAAAGAGTGAAAGTTGTCCAACGGTAGGTTAAGTTTGGGGAGTGGAATTAGTAGTGTTGGACAAGTGAAAAGAGATGGCAGGGTTTGGGAGAAGTAGTAGACAAGGTGAAGGGAGAGAATGGTGATCCATAAAATCGATCGGAAATACTTTTTCCATGATATAACACATTCTTGAAAATTCGAAATTGTTCTTTTATGTGTTCGGAAATACAAATCATCTCTAGACACGTTCAAATCACACATATATTATTTGGACCACTTCATTTGGATCAAAATACGATCTGGAGATACATCTCCATATATTGTTTGGATGTATTCAGATATATATCTTTGAAAATGTCCTCTGATGACTTGTACGCTTGATGTGTTGTGAACTACTATGTTTGATTATGTTTGAGGTGACGTACTATTATATGTGTTTCATGTATGACATTGTGTTATGCTATTATGTATGATATACATACTTGATTGAGAAATAACATGCTTAAAACATTGTAAAGATGAGTGAGGAAACATAGGCTTAAAACTAGGAAAATATATTAAAAAGAAATAGGTTGCAAGTATGAATTAGATAACACTAGAGGGTGACATTCATGCTATGATACCTAGGTGTGTGTCATGAATGGATGATTAACATAGTTGTGAGTGAGATGTATTGTATGGAACATGTATGATTATTGTACTACTTTGTGATTAAGGTGAATGTGTTCGCCTTGTGATTGTTGAATACGATCATGCTTTGTGTATTTGATCACGTAGTCGGAAACAACCCTTGAGATGTGTCATCCCAAGAGTCGATGCTTATGTAGAGCTCCTTTGGGATGTATGCACTATTACTTTGACATGTTTGAGTCTCGTGTGTACGAATGGAGCCTACAAGTAAAAGGCTTGAGATGGGGGTGGTCTCATGGGAAGCGACGATTCATGTGGAAAGTACCTTGAATCCGAATCCATTTCGCATGCCAAAGTAGATACGAGGATCTATGACCCGTGTTGAGAACTCTAAACATAGGGTTGGCCGGAGAAAGATGATTTGGTATGGTTTTCGATTAGTGATTGTTTGAGTTGATGAACTCAAGAGATATGTTTCCATACATTACAAGTTGTGTGAACTCAAGTCTTATTGCCTTTTCCCTTTGACTTGAGTAAAATTAGATTAGAACCTTGTCAAGCCGAGTGAACCCATAAGATAGAGGAACTCACTAAGATTATCATCTCACCCCATTATTGTTGTTGCTTTTCAGGTATTGTTTGCAGGTTTAGTTTACAAGTATGTAAATGTTGCCAATAGACACTTCTGATGGTGTCAGTGCCAAATAATAACACTTGTATGATACTATTTTAGATATTAACTATACAGGGTGTTACACCGACAGACCGTCGTCACACTCTCGGCCTGGTCATCCTGAACCTCAAGTACCTTCAGGTTAGCTGGCCTAAGTGGTCTTCCAGGAGTTTCTGGTGTCATGATATGGTGTGACACCCTATAGAACCATGTTATGTAGCCATTAACAACAATCTATTGTATAAGAGATGGCTCTCTGAGATACCCTTGTGGTACTAAGTGACTCATAATCATCTAGTATCGCACCAAGATCTCTGCAAAGGATGCCAGAAGGAGCGAAGTCTAAGGGGTATATCAGAATAATCTACAAGTAGCCAAATTGGCGCATCATTCGCCCGGGCAAAAAAGGGTACATAAGAGATGACCTGCATGCCAACCATTCGGAATATAAATAAAAGACGTCAAACTGACACGTCTGACGGTAACCCTCATATGGATAGATTTTAATGTCATCTGGTACCATACAGACAAGAGAGACTCTGAATGGCTCGGCCACACTATTCCCCATGTACAGAACAAAAGTGGCTACTTGTGGCCAATACTCATCATATGTAGGTGTTAAGTGCAAATTTTGACTTAAATTAAACCATCTTTCTTGGCATTTTTCAACTCATTTCTCATATTTTAATATATTTAATTATTGTTCTTGTGTGATTCTTTAACATATTGCAAATACCTTTGAATTCTTTGATGTATATGTTATTGTGCAGAATATAGGTATAAAACATCAATGATTAAGACACAAGTGAAATGAACAAGGAAGCCAAAGAAAAGAAGAGGAATTAGCATATTCGTTGTGCGAACACCAGCGAGGGGAAAATGAATGCTCGTTGTGCGAGGTCTTGGCGAAGCCCCAGCAAACCAGCCCAAATTAGAGGCAGTAGGAAAATGACTCAAAATTCACTGGGCGAAGCTGTAGCAAAGTAGTTTGCTGTGCAAAGAAGTGCTCGCACTGCGAACTCAAATATTTTCCAAGGGTGGTTTAACTGTTTCTGAGGCACTGGAAGTGCCCAAAAGTGGTATTCGTTGGGAGAATAAGGTGTTTGCTAGGCGAACATGACATATTTTTATTTTACTATATATGTACTTTTCTCACTTTTTAGAAACATAACTTTTGTAATATAGATATTTTGAGGATCAAAACTTCATCTCTTTTTATTCCAAGTATATTCTAGAAATAGAAACACAAACCTTAAGAGGGAGAAGGTAAAAGCTTCGATTTCTTGTTGGGGTTTGGATGTAATCTTGTGATACCTTATGTATTTCATCTAATATATGTTTGTGAACTACTTTGGATTCAATATTAATATTGTCTTTGATTTCTTATTTGTGGGTCTTGACTAAACCTTTTTTCAAATCTTAGATCTTATATATTCATCTATCAATGAGAAAACTTTTTACATGGTCTCGTAAGTTGATATTCACTTGTATCTTCTATTTTATTGTGTTGATTAGTAGCATGAGTAAGATCAATATAATATTGTGAGGATGCATGATAATAGAGATGAAGAACTATGTTCACTTACATTTGGTAAATTAATTGAACGCATGTAAAAATGGGTTAAACGTATGCATGTATTATGATCATGGCATTTTATGTGAATCAATCATGAAGCTGATATGGATGCCATCTTTGTTTACTTGTTTACCTTGATTTGAACCGCTATAAAAATATACTCTTCAGATCAGGATCTAGGGTGATTATCTGTTAGGTTCTAGACTCTAGACATATATTTAGGCTTAACATTTGCTTGAGTATTAGTTCTTAATACTTGTATTGTTGAGTTGCGTGAGACATCACCAATAAGACAATATGGTTGTTCTCTCGACTTTGCGTTAGACATAACCTAGATTGTGGGTGATACGCGAGGATATCAGACGAATGATTAATTTATGTTTAATTGGTTAAAAAAATGCATGTGTTATCAATTGATGAGATCCAATCCCAACAAGGCTCCATTTATATTTTCCGTCTTTATATTTTCTGCTTTATTTATTGTACCTTGAATCTTTCAACCATTTTGTAACCATAATCTTAGAAATGTAGAGATCGTTGAACGACTTTCTTTCTCTCGCAGCGATCCATGTGGAGACGATATAAATCCCAGAGGGAATCCTTCCAAATCAAAAATTTTGCTTCTTGCCGTTTTACTGCATTTCGAACAAAATAGCGTCGTTGTCGGGGATTGGTGTTTGGATATTGAAGTGCATTGCAATAGTTTATATATTTTTGACCTTTATATAGTTGTTTATATTATATATATATATATATATATATATATATATATATATATATATATATATATATATATATATATATATATATACTTGTTTCCTTTTACGTTTTCTCAAGTATTGTTTATGGACGAATGATGAGAATCTTTTCTAGATTGATTGCTATTTGTATAAATGTAGCTGTTCTGGTCTGGACCCAGCCTCGCGGTCCAGCCCAATAACGCACAAGGCCCATTAAGTGGACTAGTCTGACCGGGCACACACCCCCATAGGACGGGCAAGGCACGCTCCCCGCCGGGATGGACGACACATCCTGTAGCATCTTCAACGCCCCCTTTGTCGGCCGAACAGGGCACCCCCGGTCCATCGAGCAAGACCACCTGGCTCTTCAACGTCCGTGCGGCCTCCCCTCCGCGGGGAGAACAACGCCCTCCGGGGAACCTCGCGAGCTCCCCTCCGCGGGGAGAACAACGTGCCCGGTGCACGTTCTCCATGTGCTCCCCTCCGCAGGGACACGTCAGCAACCAACTGCCCACCTCCAAAAGAGCAGGTCAAACCCACCTTCCGGAGATCAAGGAGCAGTTAGACTAGGGCAAAGACCACATCCTGGTCTTCACTACGTCACGTAAGCCCTAGCAGTCACCTGGGTTGGGCCTGGCAATCCAGCCCAACGCAAGTGACCGTTGGCCCA